AGCCTCTTCAAAAACCTGTGCCTACCCCCTCTATTATTATTTTCACCTTTTTAATTTATTGATACACTTTCCAGAGAATTAATAAAGGATAACTTAAATTAATCTATCTCTAACCAACTATCGATATTTTGTAAATATAAAGAATTTATTTTTTAGATAATAAATTCAATTAAAACCTCCATTATTTACAATGAATTAATTATTATGGCATTATGAGCTTGCTAAAATATATAAACCTTTTAAATTACATTACAAAGGATAGCAGAAAGTTTTATTTGGAAAACAATGTGTGTGATTGTTTGCAATATACAGATTTGGTCGATGAATTGTATTATAATAATTATATAATAAAAGTATTAATTTTTACAGCAATAAATTTTGTCCTATTTGATCTCAAAATTTAAAAGATAACCCCCCAAAATTTTTATCATACCCCCATTAAAGCAGCCTACCCCCTCAAAAAAATAGGATGCAAACTGTTCCTACCCCTCCCGCTCATGTAGACATACATCTTCACTGAAATTTTAATTTAACATGTTAACAATATCTATTTTTACCCATTTGCTTTAAAAAAATTCAAAAAGGTTCAAAAATAACGATTATGACAATTGTCACTTTCCTGTAGTACATCTTCACTGAAATTTTAATTTAACATGTTAACAATATATATCCCATTTGCTTTAAAAATAATCAAAAATGTTCAAAAATAACGATTATGAAAATTGTAACTTTCCTGTAGCACATCTTCACTAAAATTTTAATTTAACGTGTTAACAAGATCTATTTTTACCCATTTGCTTTAAAAAAATTCAAAAAGGTTCAAAAATAACGATTATGACAATTGTCACTTTCCTGTGGTACATCTTCACTGAAATTTTAATTTAACATATTAACAATATCTATTTTTACCCATTTGCTTTAAAAAAATTAAAAAAGTTCAATAAAAACGATTATGACAATTGTCACTTTCCTGTGGATCATCTTCACTGAAATTTTAATTTAACATATTAACAATATCTATTTTTACCCATTTGCTTTAAAAAAATTTAAAAAAGTACAAAAATAACGATTATGACATGAAATTTTAATTTAACATGTTAACAATATATATCCCATTTGCTTTAAAAAAATTCAAAAATGTTCAAAAATAACGATTATGAAAATTGTCACTTTCCTGTAGCACATCTTCACTGAAATTTTAATTTAACGTGTTAACAAGATCTATTTTTACCCATTTGCTTTAAAAAAATTCAAAAAGGTTCAAAAATAACGATTATGACAATTGTCACTTTCCTGTGTACATCTTCACTGAAATTTTAATTTAACATATTAACAATATCTATTTTTACCCATTTGCTTTAAAAAAAATTAAAAAAGTTCAATAATACCGATTATGACAATTGTCACTTTCCTGTGGTTCATCTTCACTGAAATTTTAATTTAACATATTAACAATATCTATTTTTACCCATTTGCTTTAAAAAAATTCAAAAAAGTTCAATAATAACGATTATGACAATTGTCACTTTCCTGTGGTTCATCTTCACTGAAATTTTAATTTAACATATTAACAATATCTATTTTTACCCATTTATTTTAAAAATATTCAAAAAAGTACAAAAATAACGATTATGACAATTGTCACTTTCCTGTAGTACATCTCCACTGAAATTTTAATTTAACATGTTAACAATATTAATTTTTACCCATTTGCCTTAAAAAAAATCAAAAAAGTTCAAAAATAACGATTATGACAAATGTCACTTTCCTGTGCATCTTCACTTCAGCTTCATGCAAATTTGACGCAATATACATAGCCTCTGGTTTGCATGAGCATCAAAATGAAATCCATTTATTTAAAAAGCTTAGAACTCACCAGGTTCTAGAAGATATTGTTGCCGAAAATCCTCTAGAAACCAGGCATAATATTTACGAAAAAGCTCTAAACAAAAGATTCTTAGAAACTCCGAATATATATATGTATCCGGAGGTGATGCCCTCATATATTTCGATAAAAAGCAAAATAGATAGACTATTACAAAAAAATCGGCCTTCTTTGCCGCAATCAATCGATGAAATTGTTCTATCGCCCGAATATATCATCACAAATAGGGGGATATATTTTTAATTAATGATGATAATAATAATAATATATTGGTATTTGGTACATGTAGCATGCTAAAACCTATTGAAACATGTGATAATGATAGGATATATATGGATGGTACATTTTATGTTGTACCACGACTTTATTATCAGTTATATACGATTCATGTCTTATATCAGCAAACTATGCTACCTTTAGCATATGCACTCCTTCCTGATAAGTCCAGAGCCATGTATATAGAATTATTTCAAATAATTCTAAGATACTGTGGAGAATTTATTTAATCCCAGATACGGGCAGACTGATTATGAGGCCGCCGCAATATCTGCCCTAAGATTTGTTTTCCCTATCGTCATTAAAGGTTTATTTATTACATATATTTATTATAAGTTTTTATAAGCTGATTCTTCCATTTTTCCCAAGCCATATGGCGAATGTCAGGCTTTAGGGTTAACAACAGAATATAGAAAATCTACTGTTCACAAAGTAGTCAGACGTATGACTACTTTGCCCTTTTGTCATGAGGAAGATATCTCTCAAGTTAGAGCCTCGTGTCTTGCTATGTCGCAAGAAAATCCTTTGTTAATTAATTTTATGCAATATATGGATTTGACATGGCTTTCCGTTAATGCTTTATTTCCTTATAGCATATGGACTAGGTATTAAAAAGTGTAATGTATATATACTAAATATATTTATAATTTAGATATCAAGTTAATGGTCCTATAACGAATAATCATTTAGAGGGCTATCATTATAGCTAAAAACGATAAACACTTTGCGCGTATCCTAATATATACTCTTTAATAAATATTTTAAAAAGACATCAACATGCGAGTAAAATATATTCAAATTAATAGTGGGTTGAATGTAAATAGAAAAAATCGTAAATATATTCAACTTAATATTTTAATAGATAATTTATATTTCCTTTATGGATGTATTTCGTTTTTTAGATAATATATCTTATTTAATCAAATTTCAATCTTAACTCGCGTTTATTTACATTCATTCATTTTATAATTTTATAAATCTTTTATAATATATTGTATATTTTATTTGCATAACCTTTTGTTTTATATTATGTTATTATAAATAAATTTACAAATAATAGTTTTCGCGCATATTATATACTTCACTAATAAAGTAGTTGTTTCAATTGACCCAAAAATAATACACGTTAAAGTGGTTTATATATATTTTAAAATTAGGTAAAATTTTACTCTTAATAATTTATTTTACAATAGAAATAAATAAGTGATTTTATACATAACTAATGATATTCAATTTATTTTTCTATTTAATTTTAAATATAATTTTTTATATATTTTTGAGAAGTGAACATTGTATTAATTAGTTTTCTTTTTTAATAAATTATATTTTCTTTTTTATTAGCGTCTACATGAGAAAAAATACTCCCTACCTCTTATTAAAAATATTTTTTACTCCCTATCCCTAAAAGATATTTGAGATCATCCACGCTATAATATATTCGATGATCACGAAAAACAAAAATAAAGGATTTCTCAGAGAAAGGAATGCTATAAATATTAAAGAAATCTTTTTTTAATATTAATTTAATTTAAATAAGAGTTATAATAAATTTAAATAATAAATTATATAATAATTATAAAATATAATATAACATAAATTATAATATAATTTAAAATAAATTTTAATATTTATCAATTGAAATAATTTATGATATATTATAATAATTATTATAATGGTATGACCATTTCGCGATTTATTTTATTATTTTTACTTGTTTTATTTTTATAATAACATTAAAAGAATCAAATTCTTAAGTTTCAGTATAAATATATATTTATAATTATATAATTTAGAAGTAATTTAAATATTGTCGTGTGTCACTATGTGAAATACAAAGAACTGGAACTGAAATACAAAATACATAACACGGTCGTCGTAAAAATTTTCATTAACTTCAATATTCGCGAATTTTTAAGTTTTTCGAAAAAATTCAAAAAAAAAATATAATGATATTTATTAAGATAATTAATATTTTTTGAGAAAAAATAATTATTTTATTTACAAAATATAAACGACAAAAATATATATCAAAAACAAAAACAAAACTTTGAATATATATAAAAATTATATGTATTTTTTAATAAAATACAGTTACCTCATCTCTAAGGATAATTTACTAGCCCGGCCCCATTTTCTCCGTCATTATTTCTTAACGTTAACAACAATATTACTGTATAATATTATAGGTGAAAGAGATAAATTTTGTATGCTTAATATATATTTATCATTATATAATAGTAGTTTTATAATATTAAAATGATTTATATAGTAATAATTCACAAAACACTATAATATTAATATATAAATTATATGTGTTATATATATTGAAAATGATAGATTTATAATATAAAAAAATTTACATATTAATAATTTATAAAATCCTATAATATTAATATATAAAAATTATTTTACTTTGTTATTGTTTTAAAAAAAATTAATTAAAATGGGTAAAATATTAGATTAATTTTTAATATTTAATTATAATTTTATATAGGAAAATATTGTAGTTCAATTATTTTTCATTTTTCTAATAAATTATGTTTTGCTCCTTATCAGCGTCTATATGAGAGAAAAAATACGTCGTACCTCTCAATCCAAAATTATTACTTACTTACATGTAACTACTGCTTCCTCACCAAATATAATATGGAAATATTTTAAATAAAATTGTTATTTACATCTATATAAAGTAATAACTATAAAATTAATATATTAAAGTTATAGTTATAATTTATAAAAGATATAATAATATCAGATAGTATTATAATAAAATGATATATCTTCATAATTTATATATTATATTTTAGCCTTTTTAAGTTTTTCATTCATTTAATATCTCGCTATTTAGAGGTGGAACTTATATTAATCTTTGATGATTGATATATTGTAATTTAATAGTATTTAGCGCATTTATGGCATGCCCCTTAGGATGCCTTAATTATTTCCACTTGAAGACCTTATTCAAATTATCAAGATGCTATTTAAAAACTGTAGCTCTCAAAAGTCAATACACACAAGCAGAACGAGACATTTATAAACTAAGGAATATTGGTTTGATTATTCTTTATATATAAAATAAATTAGATATTTCCAAAAATAAATTATATTTCTTTAAAGAATTATATTGGATTGTAATATTAACCAATTTGATTTAAAATTTTAGGTATTTTAGCACATGTGGATGCTGGCAAGACTACCACGACAGAAAAAATCTTACATGTGGCTGGTATTGTAAATTCTATTGGTACAGTGGATGATGGAAATACAGTTTAATAATCATTTTTGAATAAAATTAAATATTTCTTGTTCACATGATCTAGGCCTATGTGTATTCAATTTGAAAATTATGAGATAAATTATTTATAATTCATGCTTATATAATTTGATTTAGTGTTTGTATGTTTAATTAAAAAATTTTTTTACAATCTAAAGCTAAAAATTTAATTATAGAATAAATATATATGTTATCATCCCAAAAAACATGCATAGCAAGGGTGAATAACAGGTAATTCCTAACTCCCTTTGCAAATTCCCAAGTTTCAGAATCATTTTAGATTAATAAAATTATCCTCCTTTCTCATTCTCATAAAAAATATTCTTTCTAAATGTCACCTGGCCAAAGGCCTAAAATTTGAGCTTAATTCCCTTATTTTTTTTTATGAGAACCCCCTATCCCCTTAGGTACTACATCCCTGAGGTTTGTTCCACTTTTCTGATATCAAGTTAATATCTGCTAACCAATTTTTAAGATATAGACAAAAGTGTCTTTTTAGAGAATAGAATAAAATATGGATGAAAAAAAAAACCGCATAAAACTAATTGAGTAAAAAAAGTGTTTATTGGACTAAATAGTCAATTTTTTTTATAAAACTGATTTTTTTTTATTAAAGTATCAAATCAAATTATAAATGATTAGTTTTAGAGGAATAAAGGGAACCTTAGAATTTAATATGAGGAAAATGATGTTCGGGATCTGGAACATTTACATTTTTAAAGAACCAGAAAAATACAATAAGATCTTATTATTTTCAAAAAAATTATCTATAAACTAAAACGCATTATGGAATCTAGCACTAATGAGCAATTTTTTAGTTATCAAATTTTTTTTTATTATATTTAAATAATATTCACCTGAAAAAAATAATATAGTAAATAGAGGTCTGCAATGGAGGTGTTTTTAGCTCACTTGCCCATGCCTGCCCATATAAGTAAGCAGATGGGTGGGGTGAAAATTTTTAAAGAATGGGCAGGCAAGTTAAAACAATTTGGTTAAAAAATTTTAAACAATGGCCAGATGGGTAATAAATTTAACTTTGATTTGTTATTTAAATTCATTTAAGTAAACTTAAAAAAAATATATGCTCCATAAAATTTAAACATTTTTAATACCAAAGTTCCAAAACTCAGGATATTGTTGTCAAAAGAAATTAATGAAGTAAAAAAATATATCGAAAACATTGGATTTGATTTGCATGAAAGAATATAACATCCTGGATGGAAATCAAATTTACCCGTTTTCATAAAATCAGAATTTAATTAAAGGGTATTAAATTATAATGCCATATTTGAAATAGATAACATCCATGAAACGATGGAATGTCCTTGATTCCTTGGTCAAGGGTTCAGCTCCTGGTTTGGGACTTCACCTTCATTGATCCAAATGCACCATAAACACAACATCGATGCCCTTGCCCTCACAGAATTCCGGAAAATTATCAAATAGAGTTCCATAGACCCTTTCTTTCTTATTTATACCCATCGCCTGCTCAATTCTCACCACCTACGGTAGCAAAGCTCAGTGTTTTTTTAAAGAATTAGGCAAAGGATTCATAAATCGGCCAACCTAAAGGATTTCTTTTCTTATGACAAAGACTTGCTATCTCTATTATTTGCTCTAACTATCTAAGTTCTCTTTCATCAAATAATCTTCCATATCTATTTTCTTTCTTCCCTTCTCTTTCCTAGTTTTCATTTTTTATTATCCCATATCCTTATCCTTTTCCTATTTCTTTTTTATATTTTTCACCTTTATTAATTTTATCTTAGAAAAAATTAATTATATGCTCTTACCTTTTGATAACATATTATATCTGTTACTATTCAAATAAAGTAACTAATTAAAAAAAATTTTAAAAAATTTGTATTATATATTGAAAGTTAGAGAATTATTACTTAAAAAACAGGGCAGGCAATCAACCTTACGTCAAAATTAAACTGAACATGATAAATTTACTGGAGTCATTTTACAATGAGTTATTTCTGAACAGATTATCTTAGTGAAATGGTGGTTTTCATATTTGAAGAAATACATAATTTGGAAAAATTAAATTGTCCTTATTTCATATACTAGCATAATATATAGTAAATATTAATACATCTCTCTAGATTTATTACTAAAAAAAATGTAGAAGTACCTGTAAAAATTACTAGTTAATTTATTTATCTTATTTAATTAACTGGATAGTTGTTTAATCTTATTAGTAACAGTGTTTGAAGCCAAATTCTGGAACTTTTGTAGGACAAATCAAAAAATCAGGACCTAGAACCCCCCTTTTAAAAAACTTCTAACAAAAGTGCAAGCATCTTATTGCTTTAACAGATTTGAAACCCTTGGTACTACAACAAATCTAAGAACCAGAATTTAGAACCCATTTTAAAAGGACCGGTTCTAGAAAAAGTGCAAGTATCTTATTGTTTTGACAGAGTTTGTAATTCTTGGAACGGCGACAAATCTAAGAACCAGAATTTATAATCTATTTTTTTAAAAAAATATTTAGAACCCTTTTTAGTCTAGGTTCCTAACTTTGATTAGCATCAATAATGTTTATTTATTCCTTATTTAATCAAATTAGTCATTTATATTATCGTCTGCCTCTTTATTTCATTTATTATATTTTAAAAATGTCATCGATATATTTAAAAATAATTATAATGTGATTGGAGAATAAAATAATAATTGCAAGAAAAAATAATCTTTAATGTCATTTCTAAATTATTCCATTTTTAAGAGATAAATTTTTATATTTTATTACTTTTTATGTAATATTTAATTTATAAAAAATAAAACAACTGGGAAAGAATTTTTAGTCCCTCTTATTATTCTACTGTTTAACAAAGTTTTATCGACTTGCAAAAAAAAGCCGGCGTGATTATGCGAGGAGGGTCCTTTCTTAATTCACGTGCATTCTATTCAGGACAGTCGTACGACATGCTGAATGAATTAGTCATTTCTTATTTGTATACACTTTGTAATTGTCTTATCTGGTTATTTTTTTGAGAATTTGTTTCCAGAACCGGTTCCTAAGTTTTACATTTATCCTAATTTATTTAATAGAATTTTAGGTATTAAAATTTTTATATTGAAAATAGCAAAAAAATACATTTATATCGGCCAATATTATTATATAAAAATAAAATGTATAAAATCGACTCGTTAAATTTTTATTTATTCTTTATTATAATTTATTTAAACATTTGCTTCATCAATAAGTTGATATTTTGAATACCATTTTAAAGTTTGACCTATCTTAGACCTTGCCTTTATTAGATAAATTTTGATTTCTTAAAATCAAATTCTCAAAACCGTTTCTAAAATGGGAGCCATTCATTTTACACGTTCATCATCGCGATTCCGTTCTGTAATGACTCTCAGCTGACGTTGTGCATAGTTTTAAGTCTTTTCAATATATATATCATTAAAACCTAAAAAATTTAAAAGAACATTTATGAATTTTTTTATATAGAAAAAAACAACAGAAATAGTTGTTCTTAGTAATCTCATCAGCAAAATTAATATCAATAAACTTTTAATAAATTTTAAGGTTACAGACTTTATGATCCAAGAGAGAGAACGTGGCATAACAATTGCAAGTGCTGTTGTCGCCTTCAATTGGCGAGGTCACACCATAAATCTTATAGACACACCCGGCCACGTAGATTTTTGTATCGAGGTCGAGAGGTGTTTGAGGGTCATTGATGGAGCCATTTTGATACTCGATGCTTCTGCTGGTAATCTTAGATTATTTAACACACTCATATGACGAATTACATGAATTAAGAATATTAAGCAAATGTGTCGTATTTAGAGGTGGGCGCTAACCCAATTTTTTATTCATGACTCATGTTGGCACTAAAAAAAATCACGCCCACAAATATTATTAATTCTTGCTTTCTTTTTTTTCACAATTCTACATATATAACAAAAACAACAACAAAATAGTCTAATTTTTGTAAGTATTCTAAGAATTCAGTAATATCACATTTATAAAATAAAAAATATTATTTTAAAAAAATGCAGATTTCCAATATTTTTTTTATATTTTAGCTGTGTTGGCCTTTCTCTAATAAACCATTATTGCCTATAGAAAATAATTTACTGACTAGAAAGAATAATGAAGTTTGACAAAATTTACTGGTTAATTTCCCGAAGAAAAAATAGGGATTTAAAATCGACGATATTTGATTTTTTCTAAAAATAAGAACATGTGTTCAAATCATATGTTTATGAAGCTTTAAAAAATTCTAATAATAGCTTATTCAAAAATTCTTGAAATTTGAATTTTAAAAAATCAAATTTTTTGTGATTTGTAAAATTTTTAAGGAGATGTTTAATTTTCATTTATATAACTTTTTCTAAAATGATTTAATTTTAAAATCAGGGTTGTGTATTTGACCGGTTAAATACATAGCGGTCAATTGACCGATATTTAACCGGTTAAATATGGTCAAATTCAAAAAATGTTTTTTAAGTCAATATACTATTTTTAATATAATAGTAAAATGAATATGAATATATAAAATTAATTTTATAATATTTTTTTTTTCATTGTCATTCAATAATTGATGTTTAGCTATATGGCAGAATCTTCTTCTAAATCATATTCAATATTATCATTTTCTTTAATATTTTTAATCAATTTTCCTATTGTCGAGATTTTCAATCGATTTCTATTTTAATAGGAGATTAATTCAAATCCAATTTCTTTCTGAAGAAGAAGTAGAAATAGGAATCATAAATAAAATGCCACTTTACTTAATGGGCATGGTGAGCAAAGCTCATTCCACTAACTTGAGTCCAGAGTCTGATGTTTCTTATAAAAGTTACTGCTTTCCATATAATTTGCTACATGTCGCTTTTACTTCTGAAATTTATAATATCATTAAGTATTTTGGCCATCACCACCTTGTAAAATTACTAATTATATTATATATATCACATACTTCAATAAATTCACTACTAGTAAGATGCTCCCTTGATATTGGGGACCCAATAAATAAGCAGCATTGTGATCAATTTATATCTGGTTTTCTTTTTTAAAACATATTTTTAATATTTTAGAGTATTTGACCAGGGCAAATACTTTTCCTGTCAATTGACTGAATTTGACCGTTGACCCTATATATTATAATTATGATATGAAAAGGCTATATTCCTAAAAATTAATTTTAATAATTAAATTATCCGTGATTCATGCAAAATTTTTCTTCGCTCAATCAACTCCCCCCCGGTGATTTTTTAAAACGCTCATTCACCGTCGATTTAAAATTCATTCACACACATAATCTGACTTATCGGGTGACGATTTTCACGGCCCGCTCCCACTTCTAATATTGCTTATCAATTTGAATCGAGTAATAATGGTCAATTATGATAATTAATCTTAGCTTTTGCGAGCAATCAGTAATGTTTGTACATTTAAATTTATCATTTTTTTTAAAAAAAATAAAGTTTTTATTATTACATTAATCAAACAATTAAGGCGTAGAGGCTCAAACTGTTAAATTATGGCATCAACTGCGTAGGTTTAAAATTCCGACTATATGCTACCTCAACAAGATGGATAAAGACACTAGCTCGATCAAATTATGCCTAAATTCTCTTGAGCATAGGCTAGGGGCTAAGCCCTTACTAATCCAATTTCCTATCTACCGTTACAATTTACCGACTGAGACTACGAATGTACCACCACTTACTAAGATAGACCTTAAAGGGTTGAATGGCCCAAGATTTTGTGGAGTTTTAGATTTGTTAGACAATGATGTAGAAAAGAATAAAAAGATCAGCGAAAATGATAAAGGTGAATTTCCGTTTTATCAGTACTACAAAATACATAAGGTCGGCACGAGCTGGTCTGAACCGGTCCTAGAAATTTGAAAAGGTTTTCCAGCCTGGCCTGTAAATTATTTTGCCCGAACCCGACCTCCATCTATATGTAATATTATTTTTTTTATTGTGAAGATAAAAATTTGAACACGTAATTTACATTTATTTTTTAAATTAAATTATGATTTTTGAGATTAAAAAGTATTTAATAACTCTAAACCTCAATTACACATTCATTACAATTTTCACAATGCACCCTCTCTCCCCCACTCTATCCCCTGCATATCATTTATCTTTTTCTAATAAACTACCAGCTCTATTTTCACTCAAAAGGTGTCAACTCATAGAAACTCTAGCAGACCTAGATAGCGATATCATGGACAGATTGCTCACATGTGAAGATCATAACTTAATTGCCAACTCTTCCCTACGTAATTCTATTCGTAGACTCACGTATAATAGTTCGATTCTCCCGATATTGTTAGGCTGTCGCTCTCAAGGGCAGGGTTATATCGAACACTTACTCGACGCCGTTACCTCATATTTGCCGAATCCTATGTTCGTTGGAAACGAAACGGTTGGTTTTGACGAGAAAACTAGTTAGAGTTTTAATATTTATACATTACTATACCTGATTTGATTTATAGCTTTTTTTAGTCACATGATGTTGTTTTTCAATACTAACTAAACTAGACTATGAATTCTTTTGAAAAGGGGCACATTATGATGAGTCTTTTCCTGCATATTTTTAATTTAGAGAGCACTATTTTAAATAGCAGGTGGATATTTCACATGTGTTTGGAATGCTGCTTTATGAGGTAAGATCCAGAAGTAAAATCGATCCAATATCAGCCGGTTCAGAATTATTTATGATTGTTTGGTTCACTCTTTTCATATTAGCCTAAACTATGCCTGCGCCGGGTCCAATATCCTATATATTCTGCGTCTTCATGAGCAGGAGGGGGTGGGGTCAGGGTTGCCATGTCTCCCCCCATCAGCAGGAGACTCCCGCAAATTTTTAGTTTACACGCAGACCTCTCTCTCCCGCAAAACTACCGCAATTAGAAATCTCTCGCAAAGATCTACCGCAATTATTTTTTTTAGTATTTTAACGTTTTTAATATATAAATAATAATTTTGAGACATTAATTGATTATTTTTATATTTTTTAAATAAATTTTAAATATTTATTCGAAAAACATGCCTAGTTTGTAAATTTCTTTCTATCCTGTTTTATTTTTATCCAATAATAATTCAACATCATTTCATTCATATAAGTCAGTACAGGGGAGTATATCAACATCGATTGCTATACAAAAATTTTCTCAAAAATAATAAATAATACAGATGCAACTACATTTGTGGAAATCGTATACATCTATCATGTAGTTCAACATTCACAGAGCTATATCATCACAATGTGGGTCGAATTTATTTCTCATGATATTTAACGACTCCAATATAAGTGCAAACCTTACTTGTGGCAGAATAAAAATGGCACCTGAAACCTGAAGTCAATTTTAGACGATTTGTTGGGCATCCATATGCAATTCTAACAGATGCAATAAGGGAATATTAAAACATTTCCCTCGATCCTTCGCTATTTCAACAAGAATAAGAACATTTCAATAAAACTGTTAAAATTTTTTCCTCGGATAGTGAAAAATCCAACAATGTAGCTAGCCACATAATGGTAAATATAGCTGATTCAGGGTTATCAATGATTTGCCTGTCAACTTTCTGCTCTGATAATGCCTCTGTAAATTAAACCAAAGTTACCGTGAGGCAGCACAATAATGAATTAATACCAATTGGCTGTATATGCCATATACTACATAATTCTTGCAAGAAGGCAATGAATGTACTATCTATGGATGTGGAAATAATTGTGATGAAATGTTTTAACGAATGTTCATCAACTAAAAGAGTTAATGAATTAAAAGAGTTGGTGAAGTAGTCTGACTTGGAAAGGTGTGAGTTGTTGCGATATATACCTATCAGGTGGTTGTCATTAATACCTGCCATCGATAGAATTATAAAATTTTACAAACCCTTAAAAAAATACTTCTTAAATAGAGATTTTAAAAGCTGTCCTAAAATTTTGAAAAATTTTTTCGAGTATGAAATGGCAGAAACTTATTTGGGATTCGTTTCACATGTAGGAAATCTACTACATGCAGTTAATATTTAGTTGCAATCAGAATATTCTTTATTAAAAAAGATTCACAAAATCATGCTATAGCTCTGTTCATCTCTACAGTTAAAAATTGATAATAAATTTTATGGCGCTATTGCTAAAAGTATTATATTAAAATGTTCAAATAATACTCTAATTAATACATTTTTAAATGAAGCAGTTATTTTTATTAAGACAATTTTAGAATATTTACAATGAAAATTTTATTTTAATAACTCTATTTACAAATGTATAAATATTATGACCTTGGAACAGAAACCATCAATTGATGGTTTTTATAATTTAATAAATATATTAAAAATCAGAGTTGTTAACGCTATTTTTTAAAAGCAGCTAGCTCCAGCTCCCGCTACTACATTTTTAAAAAGAGCTAGCTCCCGCTCCAAGTAATGGAGTGCCACTCCATAATCGCTCCTTTGATTTTCATTTTTTTAGAAGGTACACGAAACAAAATCATATTTTTTTTTCAAAAAGTTTTATTGATATTAAATGATCTCTCAAAATATTTATAATCTTTTACTAGCCTTTAAAAGTAATACATTTTTTAAATTAGAATCTTACAAACATCCACACCTCTCCCCTAAGAGATTTTTTGTAATACTAAATAAGCGCTCCACAGGAGCACTAGAGGGAAGCGGGGTTTTGTATTTTATAAAGATATTTTTAGTTCAGGTATAAAAAAGGAGGTCTAACAAGTAATGAGAAAATTAAAATAAATATTAAAAATATATTTAAAAAAGCATCATATCTAACAACCGCTCAACTATAATGAAATGCTCAAAAAAATAATTAACCATTTAAAAAAAAATTATTCCAAAATAAAAAAAAATATAGTTATCATTTCGTATTTAAAAGAAAGATTTTTTACTTTTAGATGCATTTATAGATTGGAGCTGCTCACTTTTAAAAATGAAATACTCTTAAACACAATTTATTTGATCATTTGGATCAACATCTTTTAGGAGTTCAAAATATTTTTTACATGATGGAAATGGAAATTCGATTTCTTCTTCTATGATCTCTAAATCCATAATACCGAAAACTATTTTTTATTATATATCTATAAAATAAATATTAATATGACTTAAAAGATTTTCCAAAAAATTTTCAATATAAAAATGAAAAACTTGATGTATAATATTTAGAATGTTTAGAAGAAAATAGAAATCTGCAAAAGTAGGCCCGGCCCGACCCGAGGGAGCTTCGAGTTGCTGGTCGGGTCTTAGAAATTTCTTAAAATATATCTAAATTTATCAATTTTATGTTGAATTTTTTATGTAAAATTAAAATAGCATATATCGTTTATTTTGAGTAATTATAAAAATTAATTTCTATATTTAAATAAATTCGGGCCTTGCCGGGTAGGCCCGATGCAGATCACTAGAAGAAAAACCAATATAAAACTCGGCTCAACATTTGATAATGGATAAATTTAAATAAAATAAATTTCATTTTTATCGAATTTTAATTAGTATCTCTGTGAATGTTGTATAACTAGATAAGTGATTACAATTGCCACAACTGTAGTTGCATCTGTATTATTTCTTATTTTGGAGTACCTTATTATGTATTTAAACGTGATACGTGATAATTAAGCGTCTATCCCTATAATGTTATACACACTAGAGACCTTCATGGGCCTAGATTTTAGGACCAAGCCCGGCCCAGGCCCATCGTAAAAAAAATTTTAAGCCCAGGCCCGGCCCGTTTTTAATATTTAAAAAAATTCCCAAGCCCGGCCCAAGCCCGCTATAATATTTAAAAATTTTCCTAAGCCCATAAAATTATTTTATGTATACTTAACTTATGCTGAAGTAATACTAATAGAAATATAATATTTTATTCAGTAATAATATATATATATAATATTAATAAATGATATAAACAAAATTTTAATTTATATTTTCAAATTATCATTTAAAAATAATATATTATCTACAATTTCGTTATTTAAATTTGTTGTTCTTTCTTCAATAACCTTTCCAATAGTACTGAAATTCCGTTCACTGGAAACATTAGATGCTGGAATTGCATGAATTTTTTTGAATTGGCAAGATTTTTTCATGCTTCTTCCACCAATCTAGGATGCAGTCATCATAGTTGATATCCTCTTCATTTAGCTGAATATCCATATATAAAAATCTCATCAGCATCCGTCTCATTATAAAGTATTGTATCATCCTCCCATGAAGACATATCCAATAATGAGGATGAAGCTAAAAATATTATATAGCTAAAAAGATTTATAAAGTATTGTATCATCCTCCCATGAAGACATATCCAATAATGAGGATGAAGCTAAAATATTATATAGCTAAAAAGATTTATAAAGAATAAATTACTCGTAGCTCTAGTAACCCTCGAAGTTTGGCCATCTTTGGGAACATTTTTGGGAATATTCCCTGATTTTCGCTGTTTCGTGCCCAGGCCGTTGTGCTAAGTTAAGTAAAATTATACCAATTTCCGATTTAAAAAATATATACTCTCCCAAGGTGTATAGGAAATTTGATAAATAACACTAATAAAATCAGAATGATTTGTTATATTTATCCTATTAAATATCCTTAAAATAAGCTAAATTTGAATTTAAAAATTTAGGCCCAAGCCCGGCCCAAGCCCTATTGCAAAAATTTTCAACGAACCCAAGCCCGGCCCAGCCCGCTAGAAAATTTATAATTAAGCCCAAGCCCGGCCCATGAAGGTCTCTAATACACACACGGTAGATTTCCAATTGCGGTCGTTTTGCGGGACATTCGCATAAAATATATTTTTAATTGTAAAATTAAAAGTTTTTTTCTATAAAATTTTATCTTGTTTACATTATTTTATATTTAAAAAAGATCGTTGGTTTTTTTTATAAATTAATATATTTTAATAAATCAAGATGTTATTTTTTTATGAATAATAGTTACCGACTTTGTATTTATAAACTAATTATAAAAAATAATAGGCGGATAATAAAGTCAATTCAAAACCCCGGCCCGGCCCGCAAAAATTTTTTTTTTAGCAATTTTTATATTTCTACTGCAATTTTCATATTTCTCCTGCATAATATCAAATTTCTCCCGCAATTTGAAAATTTTGACCTGGCAACCCTGGATGGGGTATGTGCAGTTTACTTCCAATTTTCTTTAAGGGGAGGCATTTCGAGGGTATGCTAGAGGCATGATAAATTTATTGGGGGATTATCTATTAAATTTTAGATGAAATAAGGCAAAATATATTGATGTAAAAATTTATTTAATACTTTTATTGTAGACCTATTATAATATACATATATTACTTTACATGACCAAATCTAAATATAATCATAGTTATAATTTTTCAAATAAAACTTAATATCTTGATAATTTTCTGCTATCTTTTTTAATATAATTTAAAAGCGTTACACCTTCTATCAGCAAACTCATTATTCACGCCAAACAATTTACTATAATAATGCTTTCATTATAATTGAGGGAATTTTTAAGTTAATTTATATTCTAATAAATAACTTTTACATTCACATTATTTGATAGTAGAATATTGATAATTTAATATTCTTTTTAAAATAATGATGGGATGGTGGTACGGCACGATTATAATTAAAAACGTGCAATTCATGACGTGGTAATATCGCCGCCTAGCTGTATATTTTTAAAGTGAGTAGGTGTAAGTTTTGGAGGAGGGGCGGATTTACTTTCAATGAATAACCTAAAAAAGAAACTAACAAATGAATATATATATATTTATTAACGCTGGGTACATCTCTAGTTAGATGTGTTTAAAAAAATTCTTCCCTCCAATAAATTATTTCTGTTTTTAACCCATAACCAGTTCCAATACAAATAATAAATTTAGCTTGTTAGCATTTTTAAATTATTTACATATTTATTAATATGAACTCTTTAGAAAGCCTTAAGAGCCACCTTAACTACAACAATAATGATAAATACTCCCGATTTAACGATACTAAAACCGATCTTTTTAGCTACGATGAGTCACTTATTATCAAGGAGAACTTGCCCTCTTCTATCGGGCGCGCAAATGATTTTGATGTATTTTTTTAACAATATTATTATTATTTGTTGAGTTTTTTTTAATATGCAGTTAGAAAAAATAGAGATAATTTCAGGTTTTTTTGAAGATTTTGATTCACTAATTCAGGTAGCTTAAATCGAAATCGCCAAGAATAGAAGTTGGAGCCCAACCGACCCTTAATTTTTTGAAACCGTCCCTTAATATTTTTGTATATGAAAGAAAATTTTCCTAATTTCAAGCCTTGAAAACTTGCAACGGCCCGGATATTAAAAATATTTTGCACAGGTGTGACTGCCCCCCCCCCCCCCTAACAAGTCAAAAAAGATTATTTAATTAAATTTCCTACTTTATCTTTATTGATTTTTTTTTAAAAAAATCCTAAATCAGAGCCGTTTATTTTTTGCTGATATCAAATTATTTAGCCCTCGAAAAATTATAATTAAATATTCCAGTTTTAAATAATTTATTCATTTTTTCGGAATATTATTTATTTTTTTTAATTACATTTTTTTCAACGAAAAATATTATATATTTTTCGTCTAAAAAAACTAATCACAATCCGAAGAGAAGAAATTTAAATCTCGAATTCTTAATTTATATTTTTGTCTCATTATTGGTTTCGTTCGTTACATTTTTGATAAAATATCCTTCTAATTTCTCTTTTTTAAAAATTAAAATAAGTTTTAAGAAATAATTTAAACCAATATTTCAAAATTTGTGAAAAAAAAAACCAATCAATATAATTATTAACGGGTCAGTATATATAAATTCTCAACTTTGGCACCATTGGCAAGATGATACTAATTAACGCCATTAACTATCACGATGTCGGAACAAATATTCAATGCGAGTTGCAACATTGATAGTAGAAGAAAATTTCTAGATAAATATTGAGAAACAAATTTTTTATTTTAAAAATATTCCGATTTTAAAATATGATATAATTACTGTTAAGGTTTTTTTCCAATATTTTTACATAAGTATTGGTTATATCTCTCCTATATCAAGCACTGGTATCCGCAGAAAATAATATCTTGACATATCTGCCATTATCTTGAATGCAGTAAAACGCTCCAGTTTTTTATTCAAACATTTAAAAAATAATTTTTTAAAGTGGTCCCATCCCGACATGACTTACCTAACGGTTTTCAAGCTAGTCAATCATCGAGAACACGGACTGTTAGCTTTGGTAAGACTCTACACTGGTTCCTTAACCAGGGGCCAATCGTTGGTTAGATTGGAAAATAATTGTAAAGTTCCTCCTTGCAATACATCATTGAATGGGGGGAAAGAATTTGATCACGGTCGAGATACGATGGTAAATAAAGCTGGAGATGAAACAATCGATTCAGATGATGCAGTAAACAGTTTTTCGCAAACAAATAGCACTAGCCAATATAACGATAATAATAATAACAACCTAAATGATTATATCAACCCCTCATCCTTACATGTCAATATCGATTTTAATGCAAGCTCCAAACCCTGTAAAATAGGCGACATATGGAATATCCAAGGCGAAAACCTAACGCTCGTATCCGGTTCTGTTTCGGCTGGACATTATACTGTAGTGCGCGGACTTGTAGCCAAAACTGGAGATACGTTTGTTGCGCCGCAATTATCTAAAAAGTTGGAGACAAGATTGGCAAAAATGTCTATCAATACTTCTGAATTTGGGGATGGCGCAAAAGAAAAACACATAATGGATGAGTACATAGGTTAGGGCTTGATAAATTATTTTTTTTACTCTACTTATAAAAAAATTATTGTTGATTATAGGTAGAAGGTTGTACAGCTATTATGCTCTAAAGCTTAAACCAGAGGCAGCAACTTATGAATTTTTTTTCTTAACATTTTAATTACGATCTCCTTATTATCTTCTGTTTATATCAGACTAAAAGCTTAATCTTGTTTTAACAAAATTTATAATTTTATCATTTGAATATCATTTTTTTACACCTCAATATATATTATAACTGTTTTGTTTGTAATATTTAGCCATTATCTGCGATTAAACTCAATCGAATCATTAACATTAAAATCGATAATTTAACCAATATAAATATTATCCATGAGATGGTACTTGAAATTGGACTAATTTTGCTTATTTAAAAACTGAAGGTCAATTTTGAACTAAGATAGTTTCTTTTAAAGAGGAATCTTTGGGAAAATTCATTTAAGATTCACTATATATAACCTTGTACTTTCAGAATGTTTATCCTATATTACATGGAAATTTGAAAGCTGGAAAATTTCATTTGATAACCTTCCTTTCTTTCGTCATTATTCGTTAACACATGATTAACAAATTTATTTTATGGAGTTATATTTTTAATAATTTCAATTGTGCTTGTCAATGCTTTCAATTATTTTTTCCGTTTTCCTTTCCCTCAGGATTGTGTGTCCTCATTATAGGTCAGCGTGATTTATTTTTTTTAAACAAACCATTTTGCAGCTCGTTAAATATTTCTTTAAGTTAGATCAAGAGAACTGAGTTTCGATAATATTAAATTAATTATTTTTGAACGTTTTTAATAATATCTATTTTTTCTGAAAAGTTCGAACTTCCTTAGCCCATAACACTTACAAGTCTCTCGAGGTGCCAGAACCCATGTTTTTCTGTACAGTCGAATCAGAAAATCCTAGAACTCAAAGATCTTTGGAGAATGCTCTGGAAATTCTTAGCATGGAAGATCCCACTCTTAGAATCCATACTTCAACGTCTATCTTTGGTGGAGGTTCGAAGAGATCTAAAAATGACCAATGCTCGGAAAGTTCAAAATTGGATGATGACATTAGAAAAAATAGTCATGGTAGAACTGTCATAAGTGGTTTGGGAGAGCTACATATTCAGGTGGTTAAGGATCGAATCCGAACAGAGTTCAGTGGACTTAAGGCTTACTTGGGGCCCCTCACGGTAAGTTTGCTGAATTTAATGAGTGTTTTCTTTGTCAAATTTTAACAATTGTATGAAAATTAATTTGGCTAACGTAATAAGATTTTTTTAAAAATAGTTATCATTTAAAGACATATATACTAAAAAAATTTACAGGTAGCTTATAAAGAAACTCTTAAAGAACAAATATATGTGTCAAAGCACTTGACTAAAATAATAAACGACAAAAAATTGACTTTAAGCTTGTCTCTGACTTTTGTTCCACTAAAGAGTCAGGAGGATCGGAGCACGGAATTTAAATCGTTAAAAATCCTTTATACTAAAGAGAATCAACTGACTCGCGTACATTTACTTGTTATATATTATTTATAGACATAAAATATTATATTTACCCAATTTTTAACAGTTATTCGCATAAAAGTTATTTTACGAATGATTCACGTTATTAATTATTTTACGCCAATAGCACATTATTGGTCGATACCCAAGGCGAGCTATAGGCTTGATCAATGACATAAAAAACACACACATATACTGACTATTAATTTATTGGAGTGGCACGCCATTTTAAATTTGGTTTTTAAACACTTGACCCAAAAATAAAAATATCCAGCCCTGTTTGGTTTTTTATTATGGATGATATCCTAAAACGAAATAAATTATAATATAAAGCGGTTATCAGTGATTATTATTGTATATTTAAAACTTAAATTATTTTAGGGTCGTCTCTTTATTCAAAAAAATTGGCAACTTTTCACTTTACATTTTTTTTATAAAAATAAAATTTGTTATACATTATAAGGAGAAAATGCAATCGAATAAGTTTAGATGATAATATAATTGACCTCCAAATTAATTAATCAGTAATTTTAGCTGATACCAACGATAATAATATTGTAAATAGTATAATTATTGAGGAAAAAATTCAATAGGAAAATAAAAATTAACAGCACTTTCTTTTTTTATCGATTTAAAATTTTATATTAGGCGAGGCGATAATTTTATGGGTTTTAGTATTACCTTTTTGTTATTTTTTCAACTTTAAATAATTTATTGAGCTCGTTTTTTTAATTTAAGCACTCTTATTTTATCGAAAATTACCTTTACTTTCTTTATAAATTTCAGGAAATTTTATAATGAACTTTTGATGAAATTACAAATTATATTAAAATTTAAGGGTAGGAATATTCTACCCATGTTGTAATACATTTCCATCATAATCAGATTTTTTTGAAAATATTATAACGTACTCCCAAATATAATTTAAAGTATGGAAATTAATTATCATTTTTGAGTATCGGATAAAATTTAAGTATCGATCGATATTTTTCATTCTTATCTAGCTCCCTAAACAGCTATTAACCGCACTGGATCATAGCTTAACCGTAGCATTATCTAACGCGGGTCCCCTCAAGGGCTCTCCTTTGGTAGGGATAGCGATTCATTTGCACAACATCTCTTGTTTGGCTCATTCGGATCATCAAGTACATGCTTGGATTATGGAAACATTAAAAAAACTTTCATTAATATCTTTTTGTCGATATGATATATAATTATTTACTATGCAAATTACGATGTTCTCTCATATATAGATCAATATATACACTTATGAAAATAAATAACAATCAACAGTTGTCATTTGATAAGCAGCAGGTGGTGGCTAAAAATGAGGAGGAAAATGGGTTATATAATGCAAGTCGAAATTACCTCACGCCTCAACTGATTCATTCTCGGCATTTTCGGGACTTAGTTTGCAGTCTGGTAGTACCGGGTTTGACCCAGCTTTGCGTATCTAGTGCTGTTAGTCCACTTTCGAATCAATATTTTTTGAATTCAATTGAAGAGGTAAAATTTCAGAAAATATAAAGGATTTTGTAAATATTATGAGATTTTAAAAAGTTGTGAGAGGTATTAAATCTCTTTAAACTTATTTTATCTATATAGGAATGTAAATAAAATTAGGTATAATAATAAAAATATATTAGTTATTACAATTATTTTTTTTACTAATCCACACCGTTATTATTTTTCATATTGTTTGCGTGAAACGATTACATTAAAATTGTAATTTAAGTAGCTGATTATGGATGTTATATTTAGCAATAAATGTTTACAATCATATTACCTAAGGACAAAAAATCATCAATCAATGCCATATTGTTAGAGCCAATTGTAGATGTAATTATAGATGGAGTTCCTTCACATCACCTTTCCATTTTAAAAAACGATTTAAACCGTAGAAGGGTTAGGAATATTGAAGTTTCACATTCGAAAAGTAAAGATCACATATAATTTTCTGATATTTGTTTAAGATCAATTTTCTCTTTTTAAATTTTACAAAATACTAAATAATCACTAATTTCACAAATAGATGAATCTAAATAAAAGTTATTCATAAATTTTAAAATATATTTATATAATCTCTTTATTTTTAGCCTTTGGAAATGCAACCGAAAATATCTCATACGACGTTAAGGCCTCTATTCCTCTGATAAACATGGCAGATTTCGCCGGAAAATTGCGAATGATAACATCTGGTGCTGCCTCTTTTCATATGTTTTTATCTTCATATGAACCAATCAATGAATATTAGCATTATTTATATTTCGATTATTACAATATCTCAATATTTAACAGTCTAAGATTCCATTATTAACTAAAAATATTACACATACATTGAAGCCTCCAAAAATAGCTATTCAAGATCAAGCAAAAATACTTATAAATCAGCTAAATTAATTATATAAAAAATATCTACAATGTATGCTTACCCACGTTACCCTGAATAAAAGTCATAAAACACCCTCTTTGTTTATTTAAATTTATATAAAGACCTGCAGACCTAGCCAGAACCCGATACGAAACGAACCGAAAGTTTGGGCTAGGTTTAAATATTTATATCAGTAGGAAAATGATGGAAAAATCCTATAATAGAGCAGTTAATATTCATTTACTACTTATTTTTTCGATTTTCATATAATATAATTTGCAAATACAGCCAAATTTTTATAAAATTGCAAATTTGGACCTGACTAAAAATTTTTAATGAATTCTGGGCCGGGCCTAAAATGTTGACTCTGATTTATGTAATATGTATAATTTTTTATTGCAATTCATTTCTATTCTAAGTTTATAAAAATTGTCAAAAAGGCATGATTTACACTATTTTGTTTAGTGGGGAGGGGGGCAAAAACTTTTCGAAGGCTGGGCCCGCCCCTCCCGATAGTTGCTGTACTAGGTATTAATAATGCCGTTTGATAATTTCCCATCTGCTAGGAAAGGATTTAGCATCGATGGAAATCCAGCTCTACATCTGCCAGGGCATGGTAAATTATTTGCCAATGAGAGAGAGAATTTTATGGAAGTTATGACCAACAGTGTTTACATGAATAGGGGGGAGGGGGTATTGTATACTAGAGGATAGTAAGCCTCTAATGGGGCAAGAATTACAAATATTAGGTGAAAGGGGAGGGGGGAGGGGTAAATTCAAGTGGTGACCTGAGATTATTACAAACTCATATAGATGCTGGTGTTGAATATACAAGTATCTAGAATGTTTCCTACCTGCCTAATATGTTATCATTATAGATGTATCCTGGATGGTAAAAATTTTAAATAAAAACTAAAATATTTAAAAACTAACCTAAACAGATAATTATATTGCTAGATATAACAGCATTTAGACTATAATATAAATACAAGTGCAATCAGAATGTTAGGATTGGTTATGATTATGACCTTTCTCAAACCAATCATGGTCACATTTTATAAACGACTTGGAGTTTTCTATCAATTAAACAAACGGATAACTTGACTGCTATAATTTTGATCCAATCTCATACCGCCCAAAGTGTTATTTAAAAAGTTAGTGTATAAAATTATCTTTTCGGTATCGCCTTTTTAAACCATTTTCACTAAATTTTTGGCAGACAATTTTTTTATATTAGAATTTTTTAATATCAAATTATTTAATTACAATTGCGATATATGTAATATAGTAAGAAACAAAAATTTATATTAATCATTAATAATTTCCCCTCTTCTACTTTTTGGAATATAAGTTTCCATATTTTTAAAATAATTTTTTGCATTCTCGTATATTCCTCTCTCCTCTAGAATTAATTCTTTGTTACTAGGATTTTGATTTCTGACGAAATTCTTCCGTTGAAAAAACACATTTTCAATGGGATTAATATAAAGACTGTAAGTATTTCAATATATGCCCTCTTCTCTCTCGATTCCTTAATTGTATGATTATTGAAATGAAACATTATTCATCACAAAAATCATACATCAGTCACCTTCAATATGATTTAAATTTCATTTACAAAGTTGCTAAAGTATATAGCGCTGCAGAGGCCATCAAGAACTTAAATCTGAATATTCTTGCAAGTGAGAGCAGCAATGATAATATAATTCATTGTCTTTATCCCTTGAAAATTTTTAATAGCAATTTTATTTATTTGTGAATATCAATATAACCACCTCATTGATATTGAAACCCCGCTCTCATTGATAAATATAAATTTTTCTCACATATAAGCTGCATCTACACAATTCGCGTATTCTTTGCGAATCTCGATATTTGATTCGGTATTTTCTCTAACTGAACGTAGTGATACTCTTAAAGCTATACCTAAATCCTGAGAGTAATCTTGATACCGTATTTTTTGATATTCCACACCATATCTTTCTTTAATCATTTCACATAACCTTTTTAAGGATAAAGTGCAATCCAAATTTATACAATTTAATATATATTCTTCCAGTTCTTGATTTAATTTCTTGTGTGTACATGAACCTCCTTTGGGAAAACTATATTTTATTCCATTTTTGAGATGGGAATATTTAAAATTTGCCACTGTCTTATAGCTTGCTCTAAAACAGGATGCTATATTTTTGATTCTATTCTTTTTTAACGCGTTAATAGAGCCTTTGTTTCACTATTAATATTTTTCCCCCGTGTTACCATATCTTTTTATTTTTTACAAAACAAAAATTACATACGTGATATATAGCACTTTTGCCCTCTAGCTTTGAAGGTTCAACAGAGCTACGCTATTCTCATTTCATTTGGAACTAAATTAATTTGGGTATAAAAGTAAAAATATTAAGAGCCCTCTACACGTTTGTGGGCAAGCCGCACGTACTTGTAGGCGCAACATCCCGAAAAATATTGCTTAAACCTATTAAAGAGGAGTGGGGCAAAAAAAGAGCCTATACCCGTGAACTACCGCATAATTTAATTACTTTAAGGTTGGGTGGTGGCTGATTTTAAGTTTCAATTCTTTAGTGTAAGTTTTAATGATTACTATCAATATTAAGATTTAATGTTCATAGAATTTTGTAAATAAATATATGATTAAATAAAAAATTTGCCTGATCAATTTGATATAGTATTATTTTTTATAAATGATTCATCTCATACAATACAGTACTATAACTTATTCTTCCAAAATTTTCCAATTTGGCAAATAAAAACAATTTCTATTAACTTGAATGATGAAATTTATACATCAATCTTTAACAAAAACATTGCAAATGCTTTATAAAAAAATTGAATGATGACTATACATAACAAGAGAAAAATATTAAAATATATACAATTTTAAATAATAATAGTAATATATATTATATAAAAGAAAAAAAACCATGAATCACTGGCGCCTGAAAAATAAAATGTAAAACAATTAAACAATGGAAAAAAAATTTTCCATAATTTTTCTTTTTAAAATATTTAGTTAATAAAGAAGGAATAATAAAAAAGACTAAAATCCTTTAGATTATAACATTTACCTCATTTTACGCTTAATTATTCATAAAGAATATAGTTTTATAAATAAAATATTAACTTGTTCAAAAATATTGAATGCATCTTGCATAAATATAACAATTTTAAAAAATTTAAAAATGATTATATTTTTAAGATATCAGTTCAAACTTATTTAATTTTAAAAAGGTACATTATAAACAAACGATTAATTTAATTTAGCCATTGTAATTAAATTATTTGATATGTAAAAAATTCGAATATAAAAAAATTTCCTACTGAAAATTTAGTGAAAATTAAATATAATTTCTAAAAAGAATTATCAAAAATGAGAAGAAAGAAAATTGAGAAAAGATCAAAAAAATAAAGATTAAAAATGACTTAAAGAGATTGAAAAGGTTAGAAATGTATGTAAAACAATATAAGGAGAAAAAAATCATAAAAATGTATGATGAAAAAAAGTAAAGAATTGTTAAAAAAAATGGCTCAGAGAAGTGAAGAAAAATAACGAAAAATTATAAATTATTTTTAAAAAGACAAAAGAATTATTAAAAATGAATTTAGAAAAGATATAGTAAGAAAAATAAAATAAAGAAATCGCTACAAGTTAGGAATTAAATAAGTAGGAATAATAAGATTTAAGAAAATTAACATGAAATAATATTATGATTTTCATTTTTTAAATGTGAATTTTTCTTTTCTGTATTACATTTTTCCTTTTTTCATTGAAATCTTTTTTTTTTTGATGGGACCATTTCCTTTTTGGATTGGACTTTTCCTTTTTTAATTGAACCTTTTCTTTTGTTTGACATATATCCTTTTTTGATGGATACTTTTCCTTTTTTTTGAATGGGGAACCCTGTAAGTTGATTTGTAATACCAAACGATATGTAAATTAATAAAAATTTAATCATTTTTAAAATCTTATTTTTAATATTTATGCAAGAAGCATTCATAATTTTTAAGAAAGTAAATAATGTAATTATTTTTAAAACTATATTATTTGATTTATGAATAATTAAACCTAACATGAGGTAAATGTTATAATCTAAAGGATTTTAGTCTTTTTTCTCATTCCTTCCATTTGTTGAGTATATATTTTAAATATGTTTTAAAAATAAAATTATGAAGATATGGTAAAAACAAGGGGAAAGAACATTAATACTGAAACAAACGCTCTAATAATTGACGAGTTAAAAAAGGATAGTATCAAATAGTATTATGTTTAAAGTAAGCTATAAGACAGTGAAAAATATTAAATACCCTATCTCAAAATAGAATAAAACATAGTTTGCCCACACAAGGTTCACGTGCAAGCAAGATAAATCAGAATATATATTAAATTGTATAAATTAGATCGGAATTGAAACCAATTTAATTTTGGTTTATCCTAGAAGTTAGGATTGTTTATTTAGTTTAACCTATAGATTTTAACACTTTTTCTTATTTAAACCCTGAAATAGGTTAATATTTAATTAGCATCTAGATTAAAGCATTTTTTATTAATTTTTAGTTTAACCTCGGGCTTGAAGTTAATTTATTATATATTTTAAAAATCTCTTACATCTTTGATTCCTTTTTTTTTATCTATCCATTTTTTCTTCTCCTTCTTTGCTCTCCTATATTCCACCTTCACATGGCGAGGAACGTACAGCAATGCTGACTAACGGGAGCCCTGGTGTTCAGATAAGGTTATAGTTAGGCATTTAAAAACGCATATCACGACAAAAGAATACAAGAAACAGCTGATTTATACAAAATGTTTATAATTGTACATTTAAAAACAATCTGCGAGCAACATTTATACAGAGCCCTAAATTATCTACCTTAATTTTCTTAATGGTAATACAGCTTGAAATAACAATAAAAATATACTTACCATAGGCCTCATTAATTCTATCTTTATCCAAAAAATTTATTACGTTAATCTATTATTTTTTTAAAAAATGACTGAT